AATTATTGGAATTTTCAGGATAAATTCTTTTGTAATTTGGTTAAAATAAGGAATATAGTTCTAACTTTCTTCAACACTATTTCTTTCTTCGTATTTTCTTCATAATATACTTAAAATAAAACTAATCTTTGTAAAAACTATACTTGTAAAACTTCAAAAGCCCGCCATTTTTCAGCTTTAAGGTCTTTTATGTGTATGCTGTAGACTTGATTTATGTATATACATATATATTTTCTTTTTTTCACTTAATGTTATAGAAAAAAGTATAATATTGAGTTGACCAACAGTACGTGCGGTATCTAAATATAAGTTAAAAACATTTAAGAAAAATCTAACGTTAATCAATTATTTATAGGACATATTGATCTAGAATCTTTTGCCATCATTTGAGTAATTTTAGAATTCTTCTTTCGCAAAAATTATTGTCTTTACTTTTAAAATATAGCTGTTAGTGTCGTTTCATGGTCTCTTCGTTATCAAAGTAGTGTCCACTCAAAAATTTTGTCTGAAGACCGAAACAGATGAAAATCTGAAGGCGAATTAGGTGGATGAAGTAACACATACCAACCTAACTGTAACAGTTTTGCATGCAATCATACCATTAATGTGCAAGTCTGATAAAAAACATTGTATATTTCACGGACGGTACGGGAATTACGAACATCGACTCCGAAAGGACTTCAACTCGTAATAGAGTCTCATTCGTAATTCCTTATTTACCGCCCTTCATGCACCATGTACCTTCTATTAACGGCTTTGTAAAGATGTGTGTGATTTGGTGATGAACGGCGACACCTTTCATTTCCTTCTTGGTGTTTTTCATGCATAATAAACTTAAAACTTTCCTGCTTAATCTTAAAATGCGCGCTAAAATATTATTTTTCTAATGACCACAGACAATTATCATTTTAATTAAGTTTTTTTGTTCGTTTAAAAGTTAGGTTGTAGCAATAACCGTATGAACTTTTGCATTTTTCAGTGTTAGTCAATACTTCTTTTCTTACTTTTGATTTGTCTAGTTGTGCGGTGGTTCTCAACAGTCTAATAAAAGTCACAGTTGTAGCCGCTTTTCAAATTATGTATTCTTTACCAGATGAAACCAGACTAGTTTGAAAGTCACAGTTTCCATAAACACAAACCGTAGAAATAGTTAGCTGCCACTGCATAGCGAAGACGACTTATTTCCTTCCACTTTTCTTTCAATCTCACGGATTCTTTGTGAAAATTGTCATGATTATCACTCCATCTCATGCGGGGAGGCAATGAAATCCTTTTATAGTATCTACTTCGGTATGATATAATCACCAAAGACTTTCCATAAATCGATATATACATATATTCGTTGTAGGTACTTAGGTTATATATTGCCAATGCACTTTATTGCCTTACACGTAGATAGATTATCTAAATTAGACTAATGTAAGATACGTATCCGTATATATATCGTGTAGGTTTGGTTGACAAGCTATATTGTGGCACAGGAGGTATCGTTGTCGTAATCACGGCCGGCGGCGCTATTCAATGAGATAAAATCACTATGCGGCCCGATGAATAATTCAGGTGCGGTCCACCCAGTGGGGGCGCCCCCACCACTATTTGCTCGATATTGATATGTCGTATAGATACACAAATATGTGAAAACTGAAAATACTGTATGAAATGATGACATACGTTAGCGAAATTGTCAGATTTTGTTGACTGTAAGAAGTTGTCCTTCTACCTAAGGCACTTTTATGATAACTAGTACAGGATTTGTTTATTCTTTGGATTTGTTTCATGACAATTTTATTTGAATTTTAACAAAATTAAATGAGGTGATTTTTTTTATAATACCTAGTTTCTGGACGAACAAGTCGTGGTAAGCCACACGCCTGTCCATGACAGTTGCAGTGCCACTTAGACCTTTAAATCTTTTAGATCTGTGGGGCACTGCCATTGCGCCCGTCACCCTGAGACATGAGTTGACAAATACCATGTGCCTGTAAATTCACCAGCACCCTTACCCTTCAAAACCGGTACGTAGTAATGCTTACATTACTGCTTGGCGGCAGAAATAGGTAAGGTTAGCAATATTCCCCTGGAACTCTTTCACAAGGAGCTCTACTAATGCTAATATGTATATGAAGAATGTACTTATTTATTAATGTCTCCAAATTTCCGGCACTTCCGGAAGCCAGTCTTGTTTTCTGGAGTGTTTTAATTTTTCCTGACATCGCTTTTTTCTCTTTTCTTTTAATTTGTATTTAATAATTAAATACTTGCCCTGTTTTATATGTCTAATAGACACAGATTTGTTCTGTATAGGCAAAGATTTGCTTTTGTCTTCAGCCCTTCTCTTTAAAGTAATACATCACCATTGACTTACAATTATATGGACGTCGGGTCCGCGCTAAAAAGTGTCCGCACTTGTAAGGCGCTAAAATCGTATACAGAGCGCCAAACTCCGCTTTAGTCTTCATTTGTTCGACTGACAGCGCGATACTGCGATGACATTACAATTTAAATTTCGAATAGGTTGACTTGGGTAATTTTTTTCGTGGTTTTTGTATTAGACCCGTCGTCCATTTATTTGTAAGTCAATGTACATCACAGTTTGTTTTATAGCCCAGTGTAATAACTATGTACATAGAGCGCACTGTAAGTTTCCGGAAATGGCCACTTACATAAACAATATTTAAAATATAATCACAATATTTGAAAATGGAACTCTTTGGCTGTAGAATACAGTTTGTATAATCTGACTGCCACTTGTTTTTACATTGTGGCGTCATTTTAGAAATTGGTTGTCTACATTACCATGGACTCAACTCATCAAAATTTTAGTAGTATGATTTTCTACGACTTTAAGTGTAATTCAACAGCTTAGCGGAGCTTCGCTCGGCTTCAAACTGTTTTTGGCGATGAAGCACCATGCAAGACGACTATTTATAGCTGATTTGCAGAACTCAAACGCGGTCGCGTTCTCAGTGACGAATTTCGTGATCAAAATAGACAGGCACGTGACTTACCACGTGTGAAAAAGCTGCGTTCTCGGTGGATCCCACACAATTTCACTGAGGCTCATAAAACGGATCGCGTCTCTTGGTGCAAAGCCATGCTTACCAGACTCAACGAAGGGGCGTCAAATTTGGTGTGGGACGTAGTACAGGTGACGAAACATGGATTTATAGTTACGATCCCAAAACAAAGCAGCAATCGAGCGTATGGGTCTTTCGAGATGAACCGAAACTAACCAGAGTGGCGCGCGTGCAAAGTGCCTCTAAGCGGATGTTTGCTTCTTTTTTAAATAAAACTGGACACGTGGCTACTGTTGCTTTGGTGAATCGTTGTACCGTGAATAGTGATTGGTACACCATTTGTTTGCCGGAAGTTAATGACAAACTCCGTAAAAATAATCGTAAACTCCGTGTCATCTTGCACCATGATAATGCCAGTTCTCACACGGCCAGACAAATGAATTTTTCAAGTTGAACAACGTTGATCTTTTGAGCCACTCTGCGTACAGTCCCAACTTGACACCTTGTGACTTTTATTTATTTCCATAAATTGAGAACCAGTTACACGGTCAACGATTTTCATCACCTGAAGAGGTTGTCGAAGAGTTTGAAAAATATTTCAGAGATTGTCAGTCAGTCAGAGTGGCATCAATGTTTTCAAAATTGGTTCATTCGTATAAAAAGTGCATTAACGCTAACTGAGAATATTTTGAGAAACAATAAATTCATTTCTGACCATTTATGGTATTTTTTTCTTATTCATTCCGGAAACTTTTAGTGAGCCCCACGTATAATAATGTTGAAATGGTAAACAAGCATATAATTCAATAAATAATTTATTTGCTTCTAATCATTACAATAAATAGCTATAACTAGTTAACGAACAGTCTAGTGGTGGTAGGAGATGGCGGGAGAAGAGAAACTGACGGAGGCGAGGGGGGTGGGGTAGGCTACTTTGGCCACGGGGGAGGCGTACGCTAATTTGGCAACGGGAGCAGCATAGGCGACCTTGGCAACAGGAGCGGCGTAGGCTACTTTGGCTACGGGAGCGGCGTACGCGAAGGGAGCTTGATGGGAGTACGCTACGGGTGCAGGTGCGTAGGCGACCTTGGCGACGGGTGCAACTAGAATCTTAGTAGGAACTGGCTTGGGTTCACCTTCATAGCGCACGACAGCGTTAAAGCCATTCTCCTTATCGGCAGTATAGTCGACAACACGGAGGACACCGTCGGGTTGCACAAGTGAGTAAGATCCCTGAACAGCATATCCTTGGCGGCTTTCTTTCTGTTCCTTTACGTCGCCGGTGTGACCATCGTGCACAGAATATTGGAATTCGTAGTGCGCTGGTGCCTCTGGCTCTGCGTAAGCTACCTTGGCCACTGGGATCAGGGGGATGGCAGAGGCGGCGACGGCAAGGGAGAGGACAACGAAGAACTGTAATCAGAATAACACTATTTGTAGGTCTTAATAAGTTTAACCACATTTGTACACTAACTACAATTGTAATTCGCGTGTTGGCTTATGGAAAACGGACAAGAAAAATCAAAATGAAAAAAATTGGAATTCAGACTAAAATGCAACACACTGCACTTTCACATAAAACTTTGAACTTTAAACTCGAAATTAATATGCGAAACAAAATATTAAATGTTTTACCTTAGCGGCCATTGTTGCTAATTTGATTGTCAGAGGTGGACTATGTCAATGCGTAACCCGGCGGTGTTTATATACAATAATTTTTGCCTACAGCCACATGGTAGTGAGGTAGTGACAACCGACCGACCTACCAGTCCCCGGGGTTAATTAGGCCTTACAATTGATTGAGAGGTTAAGGTCACACTTAAGTCGGTTCGAGATTAATCTTGCATTACGTGGTAGTACTTAAGGAGATTGCTGATTAGCTATGACTATTTATGTTAGTAATGTTCTTTATAAAGTTATATGTATATATAGGACTTTTGTACCTTTGCGCTTTTAAATTTGTTATATTTTGAAAGGTTTTAAGATGTTCATTAAAAACTGTACTGCAACCAAACTAGGTTAGCATTCGAGTGTGTTAATAATATATTTCTTTCGATTTTATTCAATTTATCGCATGACCCTGTACTTATACAAAGTCCTTCAGTCGAAAACATTATAACTATTTTTAACAAAAAATTGAGGCTTAGAACAAATTCAAAATAAGAGATTATTTACACAAATAGGTTCTTAAGATTGTTTTTTTCTACAGTATTTATAATGTCATAGTTTACATGATCGATCTACGTTCATTGTTGCAAGTAAATATTGCAGTTATCATTTTTTGTTTAGATTCTTTGTGACAATTTTGCTTGATCTGCAACCGGGGCACCGTACCCTGGAATCTGTCATCATTTCGTTTTCGGATGGCTAAGTTTATTCTTTGCGGAGCTGCTAGCTCTGTGGTAATATGAAATTAGCAAGATGTTTTGCATGTGGCACATGTGAACGACGTTAGTACCCGCGGTAGTTAGTAGTTTAGTAGCAGTAGAACTCCTTGTGAGAGTTCGTCCAGGGTAGACTGCCACCTTACCTATTTCTTCCGCCACTTGTCAACTTACGCATGTCTCAGGGTGACGGGCGCAGTGGCAGTGGCCCTCAAATCTTTGCGATTGAAAGGTATGAGTGGCACTGCAATTGTTATGGACAGGCGTGTAGCTTACCATCAGGCGCACGACTTGTTCGTCCCGTCACTTGATATTATAAAAAAAGACGTGACGTTAGCTAAAGTAAGGTAGACATTTAAGCCTTTAGCGGGTTTCGTCAGTTCTGGCGGTGGAGCCTACTTCACTCAAGCCAACCTGGACATGAGTAGTCGCATCTCTCACTAGCTTTTACTCAATTTTCATAGACCTACAGAAATAAATAAATATCATAGATTGACTTGTTTATTAATAAATTGTTTACCTACTTTCAAAGTTTGACTTAATTTTATTTTGGGGAAATACAGTATTAATGAAAGTTAGTAGTAGCGCCATGTAGCGCGACTAAAGCGCCACTGCAACGCGTCTGAATGTAAGCATCTAATTTGAATTCGCCCTATGAGTCCGGTTATTATTTCAAATTTGACATTTTGGAGGTTTAAAGCTGTTGTGAAAGACATACATGTGGAACAAATACAGCTTCTTTATGCTTGAATGATACAAATCTACGGGAGTGCTTCCTATTGGCGCTTTCAGTACTTCTATACTATTATATTTCGAAATACATTTTGTCAATAATATGAACAAACATACAGACAGTAAAAAACTTTGGCTCTGCCTTTGCAAATACATGCCTAGTTAGAAATAGTATGTAGTGTGGAATCACGCACCTAATCATATCATTACGCTTTCATACGTAACGCCCTTACTTTCCAGATTCCAGAAAGAGTTCCTGCTAATATTTACTATATTATTAATGGCTAAAATACTTAAATTTCTCTTTATAAGCTATTTTTCCCCACGTTGACAAATTACTTGATTTCACATTTTATTTCCAGACCTTTACACTATCCACTTTCACACCGCGAGTTTTCCTTGTAGTAATTATTCATTATTTTACAATATCACTTTCTAAACATATTTATCAGATATCTTTTAATGTTTTATATGTCTCTCAATGTCAACAAGCTACCCCTAGAACTTTTTAATTTTCCCATGGGAATGTACATTACGAGCAGCGTTTAATTTTACTACTTGAAATATAATTTGTACACAAATTATTATTACTATTATATAAAGATAATTTGAATTGGAATCAGGCCTTTTGCTGTTGTTGCGACAGATTGGCTGTAGGCTCGAGGACAACCTGTGTTTTGACATTGTTATAGGCCCGGAAGTTAATGTTATTGCGTGCTCTGTGTCGGGATATCAGATGCATAATAGACAAACTCAAAGACAGCTAGCGAGAGAGAAAGTCTTGTGGGGTACCGACGTTAGGCGATGTTAGCGCATATAGTTTATATTCAGACTACTCTTCGAACATAGGCATAAGCTGAGGACGTTCTTCGGGGTTGCTGACAGAGTGCACGAATTCTTCTAAAACGCTATTGTGGAGCAGCTCATTACAACGCCTTTGTTTTTGTTGAAATGTCGAGATATCAATATCAGAGCATTTTGGACGTACAGCCTCAACTGGTTTCGGTCAAGCACGTCAGCTCAACTTAACCCAAAGAATAATGATGCAACCGAAAAGGTTGCGCGCGATGTGTGGAAAGCAGCGCAGATAATTTTCTTGACGCCTAGTTCACTGAACCGGATTGGATGTGAGACGTGAAGTCAAGAGTGGTCGTTGAAAGGCAGTTTAGAACTTCTATTATAATGTCACGGAACAGCGGAGAACATATGTCAAATTTTTGGAATTAATAGGCAGAATCGTATGACAAATAGGACCATGTGGAGGTTCATCTAGGAAGACGGTTGCATGTTTCGTTGGGTCGGTCTCTCAAGGAAAGGCGCGCCCAGCAGGTGGCAGGTGTCACTTGCGAGGATAGTAATATTGGGATATAAAATTAAACTGAGCGCAAGGATATCTGTTTGAGGAGATTTAGATAATCCCCTAAAGTGTTGTCTCCTCATTTAATTGTAATAAGGGATCAACATTATTTTCGCTTATCCCAATACGTCCGTCGTTCAACCTGTTAATTTTCTTGATTCCTTGAAACCGAAGTCAAAAAGCAGCAAAGCTATTTACCGAACTTCAGTGGGAGACAAAACTCGGGTCATCTGCACGCCATTGCACGACCATGCACCGTAGGCCGAGTGCATCCCCTCTGTAGGTAGGGTTAGGGCTCGTAAATAATAATAATATTATTATATATTACATGGCGATTAAGAAACATCTCATATTAGTATCATCACATCATAAACATATTACCGTACATGACATTAAAATGAAAAGAATGAAAATTGAATACAATAAATAATTTATTTTTACTAATTGTTACAATAAACAGCCTCAATATCATATATAGTTAACAAACAGTCTAGTGGTGGTACGAGACGGCGGGGGAAGAGAAGGTGACGGAGGTAAGGGGGGCGGGGTACGCTACTTTAGCTACGGGGGCGGCGTAGGCTAGTTTGGCTACGGGTGCGGCATAGGTTACTTTCGCAACGGGTGCGGCGTAGGCTACTTTCGCAACGGGAGCAGCATAGGTGATCTTGGCAACAGGAGCAGCGTAGGCCACCTTGGTTACAGGAGCGGTGTACGTGAGAGGAGCATGGGAGTACGCCACGGGAGCGGTCGCGTAGGCGACTTTGGCAACGGGGGCAGCTAGGATCTTAGTAGGAGCAGGTTTTGGCTGACCCTCGTAACGCACGACAGCATTGAAACCGCTCTCCTTATCGGCAGTATAGTCGACCACACGAAGTACACCATCGGGTTGGACGAGGGAGTAAGATCCTTGAACAGCGTATCCTTGCCGGCTTTCTTTCTGTTCCTTTATATCGCCGGTGTGATCATCGTGTACAGAGTATTGGAACTCGTAGTGTGCCGGCTCGTCGGGTTCGGCGTACCCCACCTTGGCCAAAGGTACAAGGGGAATAGCAGAGGCCGCGACGGCAAGGGAGAGGACGATGATAAACTGTAATTGGAATGACAAAATTATATACTTTTAATGTTGTATATCGTCGCCTTACTTTCCCAAACTCTTATAAAATACAAAAATACAAAATAATTTATTTTTACAAATGAACTTGTGCAGGTACATTACAATTTAGTTACGACAAAGAACCAGGTAACACAACTCAATTGTAGCGTATATCGCGTACAGGGAATTTCCTACGATTCCTGCACTAGGCAAAGCCTGTCTCGCAGGTAATCGATAAAAACATTGTTACTGTTAAAAGAATAACGCCAAAGCAAGGAGAATTTTGATTTTTTAATTTTTTTTATTATATATATTTTATATATATATTTATCTTAAAGCACAAAGTTACTGAAATGCAAAAATGCATTGTAGGTATATACAAATTTTGCAGGCTGATTTCACATCACATTTCCTTCATATTCACACAATGGCTTTTACCTATTCTTACAGTAATGCATTCAAATTAACACCCTTGATAAGAAATTTAAAATAAATAGAAGGTTTGCCATCTCCTGAATTATCACTCTTTATAAGATACGAGTTTGAGAAAGTTAGGTGTCAATATTGTTCATAGGAAATTACTTGAAACAAATTTATTATTAAAGGTAAGAAAGTAAAAATAAAAAAATCGGATTCAATCTGATGGATGAATGAATGCAGCACCTTTTAAAGTAAAAAAAATTCCCAAAACTCTAAAAGTTCACTCCAAGAGTAAAGTAATGTGTTATACCAAATATTAAGAATTATTTTATTACCTTAGCGGCCATTGTTGCTAATTGGAATGTCAGAGGTATACTATGGTCAATGCATGACCCGGCGGTGTTTTTATACAATGATTTTCGCCTACAGCCACATTGCAATGTGGTGGTGACAACTTGCTGACCTACCTGCCCCGGGGGTTTATTAGGCCTATTATTGATTGTAAGGTTAAGGTTTATAGTGATTGAACTTAAATAGATTGCAGGTTGTGATTTTAGTTTTGTGTTTTAAACATTATGTGGATATTTTGTAATAATAACGTGCACACACTCATAGCCCCGCACTAGGGAAACCCTGTGTCGCGGGTGCCATGGAGACATATACAGACAACCACAAATTGCACCCACACTCGCGAGAGAAATAAATGTAGGCCATACAAATATTTCTCTCGGCCTGGGAATCGAACCCGGGACCTCTGCGTGGCAATCCAGCATGGTAACCATTCGGCTATGGAGGCAGTTAAAATATTACGGTATTCATTACAATATAAATAAATGACGTGTAGGATGACTCAAGTGCATAAAGGAGTAGGCTGATTAGTAAGTAGATTTATTACTAGCTAGTAGGTAGATTTATTATTACTATTACTAGATTTATTACTAGCTTGTGTCCGCGATTTCGTCTGGGCATAATAAGTACCTACTTTGTGAACCTATTGGTACTACTTACTTTGTGAAATGATTGGTTCTCCATACAAAATTTCATCCCCTATTTCACTCCCTTCAACATTTATTTTTGTGACAAAAAGTGCCCTATGTCCTTCTTCTAGCTCCCATCTATCTCTATATCAAAATTCATCAAATTTGGTTCAGCGGCTTAGGCGTGAAAATCTAACACACAAAGTTACTTTCGCATTTATAATATTAGTTTGTATTAGTTTCTTACTTGTTCTGTGTTACTTATATAAAATTTGTTAAAAACATTGCTTACTTGCTTATTATGAACTCAGCGGTGCTACACCTAATCTGGACATATTTTTTGATTCCCTTGCAAAGTACAAATATATGTCTGCGAGCGCACTCGATAATTGTGTGATTGTTATTCTTTTAATTCTTTATTTTGGTTGTGATGATTTAACTTAAATTTAGTTTAATTGTTTGTTTCTACTTTTAATATTTGTTTATGTACTCATAGGTTTAATTGGCCTCTAGGTGTTAGTCATTGAATCGTACTATACTTATTAAGTGTATCGGAGTTTTGTCTTTAGTTTTAAGTCGTTTCAATGTATTAATACACATGCTGTTGATGTGCCTTATGAAAATAAATAAATAAATAAAAATGGTGATCTAGTTGCGTGAAGCTGTATGCACTTTTCGACTTAGTTGTATCAATATAAGTTATAAATCAAGGTAGCTCGATTAAATATAATTTTAGTAGCAATACAGCACCTTGTGAAAGAGTTCGTCCAGGGAATATAGCCACCTTAAGTATTTCGGTTGCCAAGCGGTAATGTGAGCATTACTTCGTTCAGGTTTTGAAAGGTAAGGGTACTGGTAAAATTACAGGCACATAGGACTTGTCAATGTATGTTTCAGAGTGACGCGCGCAATGACAGCGTACGTCAGATATTTGAGATTTAAAGCTGTGAGTGGCACTGCAACTGCTATGGGCAGGCATGTCGTTTACCACCAGGCGCACGACTTGCTCGTCCTCTCCCTTGATATCATCAAAAAAATTGTTGTGGATTCAGTTTGGTTCTCGGCATGACTTGGCAACACTACGGTCTTTTCGAAAAAGTATAATCATAATAATAAATAAAAAGTAAATAAAGCCGTAGTAGCCTAATGGTTTGACATACTGCCTCTCAAGCAGAAGGTCGTAGGTTCGAATCCGGGCTCGCACCTCTGAGTTTCTCGGGATTCATGTGCGAAATTTAATTTGAAATTTATCATGAGCTTTTCGGTGAAGGAAAACATCGTGATGAAACCTGCACGCTGAAGAAGTTTCACAACCCTCGGAAAACGTGTGAAGTCCTCAACCCGCATTGGGCCAGCATGGCGGACTATGGCCTAAACCCTCGTCTGAAAAGAGACCCGAGTCCAGCAGTGGGACATATAAATGGGTTGATGATGATGATGATGAATAATAAAACGTGTCTGACGACCGCCAGAACAACTTCCCAGAACACCCAGAATAGAACCAATTTAAAACCCGGGACCTTCCACATCTAGATGACGCAATCCAAACCATTGGGCCACCGACCGAGATCGACAAATATTAAAGGATTTGAATGTTAAGTTGCTTAATACTTGCCCTAACGGTGAAGGAAAACATGGTGACGAAACCGCTCCAAGTCGGAGAACATTGAAATTACTATGTATGTACATTCGATTTTAAGTCAACCTAAATTTTAAGTAAATTATGAAGACTGTCTTAATATGTGTTATCATATTTTAAACAACTTGTGTAATCATATTTTATTTTATTTTCATTTTTTTTAAATATGTAGGAAAACACAAATCACTTTAAGTAAAATGGAAAAAACAAATAAAAGGTATTGCTTATTTCTATAAGAAATTTCTTCCTGCAGACCAAAATACAGGACGCAATAATTACAGTAACGGGTATACAAAACTAAATTAAATTATGTAATAAAAAAACAATAAAAAAAAACAGCAAAAGTATTAAATTACTACGGACTATATAAATACTTAGATAAATACATATTTCATATTATAATATCTATAAAATGGATAGAACAGAGGATGAATAGTAATCCTTGACTCTCATTTTGAAGATTGCTAAGGATTTACTGTCGTGTACAGTAATGGGAAGTGCGTTCCAAAGTCTGACCGCATGAACAGTAAAGGTGTGAGAATAATAACCGGAATTGAATGATGGAAAAGATATTTGGGACCTAACGAGAGAGTGACAAGGCTTATCCCGGGACCTGAGGAGGCTGAAACGCTCTTTCTGATACTTGGGAGACAAAGGATTATGTAGAATGTTGTAAAGAAGAGAGACTGAAAGCACTGCAAAGATTCGATAAATTTTTTAGGCAATTATATACATTAACTTTTTATTCATTTTAGCTTTTAAAAGGAGAATTGCTGTTGGATGACTGAGACACAACTTGCTTGTGTTTCACACTTCAATTTCAACATACAGAACCGACAAGTCAATCGGCGTTCACGGTATTAGAAAACACCTTTTTTTTCATCCTATAGGGAAAACACACAATTCAAAAGCTTAGTGTTACATCACACTTGTCATTACTGAAAACAATTAAATACATGTCCTTAAACTTCATCCGGTATGCGTTCGCAACCTTCATTTATTTTCATCAGATAAAAGGTCAATATGCCGGCTACAGCGTACAAAATAATTATGATGCAATGTTCACGCGATTTTGCAGACAAGAATTCTCATTGTCAGTACAAAGTAGATAATTTGCAAACAAATTAACGTATTGTTATTTAACTCCTTCGAAAGCTGATGACATTTACGAGCCCATTAACGTATAAGAAATATTTTTTTATACTTGTTTAATACTTTTCACATTTCTTAGATCTTGAACTATAACCAAAATAAAAAGACCTTTTGTATTCTGAAGACTTACTAAGAAACTAACTATGTTGTATGAGAAGCGGTAGGTCTTTTCAAAGTGGGATTTCGGTAGGGAAATTAAAAGTAGTTTGGTGACCAACGACCGAGGCCTTGGCCGAGTTGTCGGCGGTACCGCGGCTCACGATATGTGTAACGTGTTACGATTGATCGATGAGATTATGAATCCAGTTTGAAATAATCATTACTATTGTTGCGAGTCTAATTTAACTCTCTTTATCTGCTTATACATGGGGTGTTTTAATCTGAGTAAATGGTGTTTTAACCGTGTGGAGTTTTTCTTAAATTTTATCTTACAATATTTACACAAGGTTGAAATACGTACTTTTAGTAAAAGAAATAATATGTAGTTTAGTAGCTGTAGCTACTTGTGAATGAATTCGTCCAGGGAAGTACTGCCACCTTACCTATTTCTGCCGCCATGCAGTAATGTGAGCATTATTACGTTCCGGCTTAGAAGGGTAAGGATGTCTGTGATACCTATTACAGGCACATGGGACTTGTCAACTTATGTCTCAGAGTGACGGGCGCAGTGGCAGCGTCCATAAGATCTTTGCGATTTAAAGCTCTGAGTGGCGTTATGGATAGGCATGTCGCTTATCAACAGGCGCACGACTTGTTCGTCCCGTCACTTGGTATTGTAAAAAAAAAAACTTAAAAAAAGTGACATTTTGTACACTTACACAGTGAATTTAATCACCGACATGTTTGGTTTATACATAACTTACATTTGCAATAAACGTACCTAAGTATTTGTAACTGACTGCATACTACCTAGTAATAAAGTAATATTAGTCGACACAAATCAAGACCTTTTCACACTTATCACCGCAACTTAAATAGGGATGTGAACTGAACAAGTTGGCAACCATATTAAACTATTCTCACGAGAAATCTTTTCGAAATTTTATGAGCCTGTGATTGTTTCGATTATTTTTCGTGTCACTGGTTGTCGCTTCTTGACAGAACAATTAATATTTGTTTAAGCAATATAAAGTTTAATATAAATAATAAGTAAGTATTTTAAATGATCACTTTGTCAACCTGTAGTTGTTGTAGCGTAATTACATTAACAGACTTAATAAGAACAACCTGTAGTTAACTAGCAAAATTCTGAAGCAAAATTCTGAAACAAAAAAAATAGACGTCATGGTATAAATATTTATCCACTTTCATCGGAAGATGAAGCAAAATCATCAGTTGAGCTAGTGTCACCTGTATGTACAATATTTGACTTTCAACCATATTATCAATGTTAACATCTTTGTCAAAATTAAAATTAAAAAGTCAACCTTTTTCAAGTGAAATTGAATTAATTCGGTGAAATTCGGACATTAATTGGTTACAACACTATTATTAAAAAAAAAACTAACTACTAAGTAACTGTTCTTAGGACATTTCGGACTAACTCAAAATTGCATTTTATTTTGGTATTTGTGCTCAA